TCTCTCTGTCTGTATGTGTGGCAGTGTCTCTCTGTCTGCATGTGTGGCAGTCTCTCTTGTCTGTATGTGTGGCAGTCTCTCTCTGTCTGTATGTGTGGCAGTCTCTCTCTGTCTGTATGTGTGGCAGTCTCTCTCTGTCTCTTTGTGTGGTAGTCTCTCTTAAGTCTGTGCGGCAGTCTCTCTCTGTCTGTGTGTCAGTCTCTTTGTCTCTCTGTCTGTGTTCAGGCTCTCTCTCTATGTCTGTCTGTGTGTCAGGCTCTCTCTCTATGTCTGTCTGTGTGTCAGGCTCTCTCTCTATGTCTGTCTGTGTGTCAGGCTCTCTCTCTATGTCTGTCTGTGTGTCAGGCTCTCTCTCTATGTCTGTCTGTGTGTCAGGCTCTCTCTCTATGTCTGTCTGTGTGTCAGGCTCTCTCTCTATGTCTGTCTGTGTGTCAGGCTCTCTCTCTATGTCTGTCTGTGTGTCAGGCTCTCTCTCTGTCTGTCTGTGTGTCAGGCTCTCTCTCTATGTCTGTCTGTGTGTCAGGCTCTCTCTCTCTCTGTCTCTCTGTCTGTCTGTGTGTCTGTGTGTCAGGCTCTATCTCTCTGTCTGTATGTCAGGCTCTCTCTCTCTATGTCTTCTGTGTTTCAGGCTCTCTCTATGTCTGTCTGTCTATCTGTCTGTGTTTCAGTCTCTCTCTGTATGTGAGGCAGTCTCTCTCTGTGTCAGGCTCTGTGTGTGTGTGTCAGTCTCTGTCTGTATGTGGGTCAGTCTCTCTCTGTCTGTAGGTCAGTCTCTCTCTGTCTGTATGTGAGTCAGTCTCTCTCTGTCTGTAGTGTATGGCAGTCTCTCTGTCTGTATGTGTGGCAGTCTCTCACTGTCTGTATGTGGGTCAGTCTCTCTCTGTCTGTATGTGGGTCAGTCTCTCTCTGTCTGTATGTGAGTCAGTCTCTCTCTGTCTGTAGTGTATGGCAGTCTCTCTGTCTGTATGTGTGGCAGTCTCTCACTGTCTGTATGTGTGGCAGTCTCTGTCTGTAGTGTGTGGCAGTCTCTCTCTGTCTGTATGTGTGGCAGTCTCTCTCTGTCTGTATGTGTGGCAGTGTCTCTCTGTCTGCATGTGTGGCAGTCTCTCTTGTCTGTATGTGTGGCAGTCTCTCACTGTCTGTATGTGTGGCAGTCTCTCTCTGTCTGTATGTGTGGCAGTCTCTCTCTGTCTGTATGTGTGGCAGTCTCTCTCTGTCTGTATGTGTGGTAGTCTCTCTTAAGTCTGTGCGGCAGTCTCTCTCTGTCTGTGTGTCAGTCTCTTTGTCTCTCTGTCTGTGTTCAGGCTCTCTCTCTATGTCTGTCTGTGTGTCAGGCTCTCTCTCTATGTCTGTCTGTGTGTCAGGCTCTCTCTCTATGTCTGTCTGTGTGTCAGGCTCTCTCTCTATGTCTGTCTGTGTGTCAGGCTCTCTCTCTCTCTGTCTGTCTGTGTGTCTGTGTGTCAGGCTCTATCGCTCTGTCTGTATGTCAGGCTCTCTCTCTCTATGTCTTCTGTGTTTCAGGCTCTCTCTATGTCTGTCTGTCTATCTGTCTGTGTTTCAGTCTCTCTCTGTATGTGAGGCAGTCTCTCTCTGTGTCAGGCTCTGTGTGTGTGTGTCAGTCTCTCTGTCTGTATGTGGGTCAGTCTCTCTCTGTCTGTATGTGGGTCAGTCTCTCTCTGTCTGGATGTGAGTCAGTCTCTCTCTGTCTGTAGTGTATGGCAGTCTCTCTGTCTGTATGTGTGGCAGTCTCTCTGTCTGTATGTGTGGCAGTCTCTCACTGTCTGTATGTGTGGCAGTCTCTGTCTGTAGTGTGTGGCAGTCTCTCTCTGTCTGTATGTGTGGCAGTCTCTCTCTGTCTGTATGTGTGGTAGTCTCTCTTAAGTCTGTGCGGCAGTCTCTCTCTGTCTGTGTGTCAGTCTCTCTTTGTCTCTCTGTCTGTGTGTCAGTCTCTCTCGGTCTCTGTCTGTGTGTCAGTCTCTCTCTGTCTGCGTGTCAGTTTCTCTCTGTGTCTGTCTCTCTCTGTGTCTCTGTCAGTCTCTCTCTGTCTGTCTGTGTCAGTCTGTATGTCAGTCTCTCTGTCTGTCTGTGTCAGTCTCTGTCTGTCTGTGTGTCAGTCTCTCTGTCTGTGTGTCAATCTCTCTGTCTGCCTGCGTGCAAGTCTCTCTCTGTCTATCTGTACATCAGTCTCTGTCTGTCTGTGTCAGTCTCTCTCTGTGTCAATCTCTCTGTATCTGTCTGACAGACTCTGTGTCAGTCTCCCTCTCCATGTGTGTCAAACTCTGTCTCTGTCAGTCTCTCCCCGTCTGTCACTGTGTCTGTCTCTCTCCCCATGTGTCTGTCTGTGTGTCTCTCTCCCCGTCTGTCTGTGTGTCAGTCTCTCCCTGTCTGTCACTGTGTCTCTCCCTCCCCATGTCACTGTGTCTGTCTTTGTGTCAGTCTCTCTCCCCCCACCTCTGTCAGTGTGTCAGTCTCTTTCCCCGTCTGTCACTGTGTCTGTCTGTGTTTCAGTCTCTCTCCTCGTCTGTCAGTGTGTCTATCTCTCTCCCCGTCTGTCACTGTGTCTGTCTCTCTCCCCGTCTGTCACTGTGTCTGTCTTTCATTGTGTCTTGTCTGTATTTCAGTCTCTCTCCCCGTCTGTCACTGTGTCTGTCTGTGTGTCAGTCTCTCTCGTCTGTCACTGTGTCTGTTTGTGTGTCGGTCTCTCTCCCCGTCTGTCACTGTGTCTGTTTATGTGTCTGTCTCTCTCCCCCTGTCTGTCTGTGTGTCAGTCTCTCTCCCCGTCTGTCACTGTGTCAGTCTCTCTCCCCATCTGTCACTGTGTCTGTCTGTCAGTCTCTCTCTCCCCGTCTGTCTGAGTCTCTCTCTCCCCCTGTCTGTCTGTCACTGTGTCTGTCTCTCTCTCTCTACCCGTCTGTGTCTGTCTGTCACTGTGTCAGTCTCTCTCCCCCCCCTCTGTCTATGTCTGTCTGTCACTGTGTCTGTCTGTGTGTCAGTCTCTCTCCCCGTCTGTCACTGTGTGTCTGTGTGTCAGTCTTTCTCCCCGTCTGTCACTGTGTCTGTCTGTGTGTCAGTCTCTCTCCCCCTGTCTGTCACTGTGTTTGTCTGTCACTGTGTCTGTCTGTCAGTCTCTCTCCCCCGGTCTGTCACTGTGTCTTGTCTGTATTTCAGTCTCTCTCCCCCTGTCTGTCACTGTGTCAGTCTCTCTCCCCGTCTGTCACTGTGTCTGTCTGTCAGTTACTCTCCCCCGTCTGTCTGTCACTGTGTCAGTCTCTCTCCCCCTGTCTGTCTGTCACTGTGTCAGTCTCTCTCCCCCTGTCTGTCTGTCTGTCTGTCTGTCACTGTGTCAGTCTCTCTCCCCCTGTCTGTCTGTCTGTCACTGTGTCAGTCTCTCTCCCCCTGTCTGTCTGTCACTGTGTCTGTCACTGTGTCAATCTCTCTCCCCCTGTCTGTCACTGTGTCTATCTGTGTGTCAGTCTCTCTCCCCCTGTCTGTCACTGTGTCAGTCTCTCTCCCCGTCTGTCACTGTGTCTGTCTGTCAGTCTCTCTCCCCCGTCTGTCTTCACTGTGTCAGTCTCTCTCCCCGTCTGTCTGTCTGTCACTGTGTCAGTCTCTCTCCCCCTGTCTGTCTGTCACTGTGTCTGTCACTGTGTCAGTCTCTCCCCCTGTCTGTCTGTCACTGTGTCAGTCTCTCTCCCCCTGTCTGTCTGTGTGTCAGTCTCTCTCCCCCTGTCTGTCTGTCTGTCTGTCTGTGTGTCAGTCTCTCTCCCCCTGTCTGTCTGTCTGTCTGTCTGTCTGTCTGTCACTGTGTCAGTCTCTCTCCCCCTGTCTGTCTGTCTGTCACTGTGTCAGTCTCTCTCCCCCTGTCTGTCTGTCACTGTGTCAGTCTCTCTCCCCTGTCTGTCTGTCTGTCTGTCTGTCACTGTGTCAGTCTCTCTCCCCCTGTCTGTCTGTCTGTCTGTCTGTCTGTCTGTCTGTCTGTCTGTCTGTCTGTCTGTCTGTCTGTCTCCCCCTGTCTGTCTGTCTCTCTCCCCCTGTCTGTCTGTCACTGTGTCAGTCTCTCTCCCCTGTCTGTCTGTCTGTCTGTCACTGTGTCAGTCTCTCTCCCCCGTCTGTCTGTCACTGTGTCAGTCTCTCCCCCCCGTCTGTCTGTCTGTCTGTCTGTCACTGTGTCAGTCTCTCTCCCCCTGTCTGTCTGTCTGTCACTGTGTCAGTCTCTCTCCCCCTGTCTGTCTGTGTGTCAGTCTCTCTCCCCCTGTCTGTCTGTGTGTCAGTCTCTCTCCCCCTGTCTGTCTGTCTGTCTGTCTGTCTGTCTGTCTGTCTGTCTGTCTGTCTGTCACTGTGTCAGTCTCTCTCCCCCTGTCTGTCTGTCTGTCTGTCACTGTGTCAGTCTCTCTCCCCCTGTCTGTCTGTCACTGTGTCAGTCTCTCTCCCCTGTCTGTCTGTCTGTCTGTCTGTCACTGTGTCAGTCTCTCTCCCCCTGTCTGTCTGTCTGTCTGTCTGTCTCCCCCTGTCTGTCTGTCTCTCTCCCCCTGTCTGTCTGTCACTGTGTCAGTCTCTCTCCCCCTGTCTGTCTGTCTGTCTGTCTGTCTGTCACTATGTCAGTCTCTCTCCCCCTGTCTGTCTGTCTGTCACTGTGTCAGTCTCTCTCCCCCTGTCTGTCTGTCTGTCTGTCTGTCTGTCTGTCTGTCTGTCTGTCTGTCTGTCTGTCACTGTGTCAGTCTCTCTCCCCCTGTCTGTCTGTCTGTCACTGTGTCAGTCTCTCTCCCCCTGTCTGTCTGTCTGTCTGTCACTGTGTCAGTCTCTCTCCCCCTGTCTGTCTGTCTGTCTGTCACTGTGTCAGTCTCTCTCCCCCTGTCTGTCTGTCTGTCTCTCTCTCTCTGTCTCCGCTGCCTCTAACGGTTGTGAATTCAATCTGTGTTGGCGGGAAACAGGTCCTCCTGTATCCCAGAGGGCAGTGCGGCCAGGTCCTCCCGCATCCCAGCAGGCAGCGCGCGGGCGGGCGGGCGGGCGGCGCGGTGGTAATGGCGGCCGCGGGCTGGGAGCGGAGTCTGCTGGAGATCGGCAGCTCAGAGCGGCACTTCCCGGCGTGGCGGGAGCTGCGGCTGGAGACCGGTGAGAGGCAGCGGCGATGGCGGGTCCCGGGAGCCGACAAACCCCATCCTGAGGGCCTCACGGCCTCCTCCAACTCATTCAAACCCGCGCCCGGGACCGCCCGCCGCCGCCATTCCCGCCGACAGCACCGCTCCCGCCACAGCCCGACTCCACCCCACTCCTCTGTGCACCTCAGCTCGTGAGGGCCCCTCCACAGCCCTCCACACCACAGCCCTCCGAGCACCACCGCTACCATCACAAATACATAACCCGCGCATCGTTAAAGCGTCTCAAAGCGCTTCGCGGGATATACTGTAAAGTGAATTGACTATATTTTGTGGGTGAAACGTTATGATAAATGTATATTATAATTATTGTACATAAAAAAAATCTATCCCCCAAACGTCTGATTTCCCTTCGTCAATGCCTCTCCTTCATCCCCTTTTCATCTTTAAATCCCACTTTAAGACCTCCCTCCTCGCCTCCCTATTCCCACTTCTCTCTGGATCAGTGCACAGTCCCACCGCTGTGCAGCGCTCCGAGACGTGAATGACAATATATAAAAAATAAAATGTATATATACTGTGTATATATATATATAGTAATCTTTGCATTTGATATAGCGCCTTATCACATCTTCGAACGTCACAAAGCGCTTCACAGAATATACTATAAAATAAATTGTACCTTTTGTGGACGAAACTCATCAGCCAATTGCACACAGCAGCGACCCACAATCAGTCATGGATTGAAGTGACCAATTATTTTTTTGAAGGAATTATTATCCCCAGAAAAACAATCCACCAATCAACTAACAATCGAGTTCCCACTTACTGCTAGGTAAACAGGCATGTGGAGTAACGAAACTGCCCAACATTTCATCCTGACGGGAATCAAACCCAGGTCTCGCTTGCGAGGAGAGTGCTCTAACCACTGAGCGACAGCACTCCACAAAAATCCAAGATGCTGCGTACCAGCTTTGTGCACGAGCATAGCCTGATTTGTCCAATGTGGGTTTTTTAGGTGTTAAGAGGAACTACTTCATGCAAAGAGAAGTGAGATTGTGGAACTCCTGTCTGAAGCGGTGATTGAATCAGATAGTGCAGATGCATTCAAGAGGAAGCTTGACCTTCACATGAGGGAGAGGGGAATAGCAGGGTATTTATGGAGTAAGGAATGGGTGAAAACTCGTGTGGAGTATAAACACCAGCAGCAACATATTAGACCGAATGGTCTGCTTCTGTGCTGTACATTCTCTGTAGTCTTTATAAAATTGTGGTGAGTGTGAGTCTCTGTGGCCTCATATATGTCTTTTTCGCAGGAGTCAGTGCTGTTCCAGGCGTGAAGTACTCTGATAGTGCTGGTGGATTTTTCTATGAAGAAAGTGGGAAGCTGCAGTCAGTCACCAGAAACCGCTTCATACACTGGTGTGTACAGTGCATTTCAGTAAACTTGTGTCTCCTTGGCGAGTGAGCAAACTCCTATCTGGAGGATTCTGTTTGTTGTGACATTCCTGCTGCGGGGTGGAATGGACTGGCTTATACTGCATGTAGAATTACAGGGTCTTTACTTTTACTGCGGTGATGTTTTGGAGAGAAGCGTGCTCCTGCTACATATGTTGAATCTATTTTTATTCCTTTTCATGCTGTGGTTTGTGAGCCTGTTAATAATAATCCTTGCATTCGATATAGCGTCTTATCACGTCTTTCAGACGTCTCAAAGCGCTTCACAGAATATACTGTGAAGTGAATTGACTATATTTTGTGGGCAAAACGCGGAAGCCAATTGCGCACAGCAGCGTCCCATAAACAGGTGTGGATTGAGTGACCAATCTTTTTTTTGAAGGAATTTTTATCCCCGGAAAAGCAATCCACCAATCGACTAACAACCGGGTTCCTACTTACTGTTAGGTAAACAGAAGCTTGTGCAGTAAGAAAACTTGCTCAAGGTTTCGCCCTGCCGGGAATCGAACCCAGGTCTCTTGCTTGCGAAGCGCGTGCTCTAACCACTGAGCTACAGAGTGTTGAGTCTGTGTTATTAAGCCTCTTCTCCTGTTTTAGGACCAGCTCCGGAGATACGCTGCAGCTGCTGGAACAGTCGCTTGATGCCAACCTGCTGAACAATGCCGTGCGTCTAAAGATCCCGCACTGTGCCCTGCTTCCGGGTGGCGTCCATGTGCACGAGACCCATGACCGAGTCACTCTCCTGATCCTCACCAACCAGACAGTGCACAGGATTGTGCTGCCGCACCCCTCCCGCATGTACAGAAGTGTGAGTAACATCTCCCACTCACCCTCCGTCCCTCGCCTCGCTCATTCCTCTCACTCCTCAGGAACGACCAGATGATCAGAGGCTCTTCAAGCTTGCTAAGGGATGTCACTGAGAGCCACTAATGGAGGTGGATATGGTGCTAAATGGGAGTGAGCAAGTCAATCCACAACACTACTTTCAGTTAATGTCTGGCAGACATCAAGGCCTGGACGAGTTTAAACTTCCTGCAGCTGAATATGGACAAGACAGAAGCTATACTGCTTGGCTCCCGTCAACGCCTTCACTCCTGCGTATCTAAACCCATCAACCTCCATTGGCTCTCCCTCAGACTCACCGAACCAGTGCACAATCTAGGCATCCGGTTCGTCCCCTAGTGGTCCTTCCTCCCCCACATCCAGTCCCTGACCAGGACCGCCGCCTTCTACCTCCACCACATTGCCCTCCTCGGACCGTACCTTACCCCAAATGCAGCCGAAACCCTTGTGGATACGTTTGTCACCTCCCGCTTGGATTACTCCCAACGCACTCCTCGCCAGTCACCCCAGCTCCACCATTCTAAAGATCAGCTCATTCAGAACGCTTGCCGCCCGCATACTGACCCCGACCAAACTCCGTCCCCACATCTCACCAGTTCTGGCTCAGGCTCCACTGGCTCTCCATCACCAAAATCCCAAATCCTCACTCTCGTGTTCAAATCCCTTCACTCTCTGGCACCTCCCTACCTCTCCAACCTCCTCACTCCCCAATCCACCACCCGGCACCGGCATCCTGCTCGCCGCTTCTTACCATCGCCCCACCATCGGAGGTCGCGCTTTCAGCCACTACTCCCCAGAACTCTAGAACACTCCCTCAATTGCTCTGCCTTGCCCCCTCCCCTCTTTCAAGTTCAGCCTGAAAACTTTCCTCTTTGACCATGCTTACGGCCACCTCCCCCTGGCTTGGAGTCAGGCTCCGCCACTGTTAAGCGCTCTGAGACGCTACCCTGCGTGAAGGGCGCTGTATAAGTGCAAGTTGTTGTTGTTAATGAAGGCAGCCGAACCTAATGAGAGTTGCAGAGCATTTTAGTACAGATCCAGAAAGTGTTTCTTTACACAAAGGATAAACTTAACAGCAATGGGGATACCAGAACCGGTGATTAAAGCCTAGGCACTTAAGAAACAGTTGGATGCTGTAATGGAAGGATGAGATCAAATGGAACTTATTCACCTGAACCTCTCTTTCGACCTTCATTCCTTCTCTCTGTGCAGGAGCTGATCAGTGAGGCTCACGTGCAGTCCATCTTCACGGACATCGGCAAAGTGAATCTCCAGGATCCCAGCAACATGTGTGTTATTCCCAGCATTCCAGGACATGCCTCCAGCTCCACAGCCTCTGCCTCTTGGCTGAACAATGAAGGGGAAGCACTGTTTGCCCTGGCGTCAGGGTCCGGGGCCATTCTGATCATCCGGCTCCCCGAGGCCGACTCTGAAGGTAGGGCTGGGTTTGCAGGGAGCTTGGGGTCAGAGAAAGGAAAGGAAGCACTTCTCTTGTTTCGAAGCTTATTTCACCCACAGTATTCCGTATTCACTTACAGTATATTCTGTGAAGCACTTTGAGACGTGATAAGGCGCTATATCAGATGCCAGAATTATTGTTATTCTCAAGTCTGGATACTCTTAGTGGATTTCCAGCGCACGACTGACCAAAAAACCCTCTCCTTGCGGCCCGGAATCTGGGGCTGAATGGGCAGGTCTGCACGTCCTCCACCCTGCATACCCAGGCCCAGGACGGATAGTGCCAATGGGAGGGTGATGGAGGGAGAGGGGGAAGGTGGCGGAGTGTGGGGGGTGGGAGCTGATGAATGTAGTATAATGGCTGCTCTTTTACAGACGCGATCTCGCTGCTGGAGCTGAAGCAGAGCTCAGTCATGCAGAGGTTGCTCACAGGGTGGATGCCAACTGCTATCAGGTGAGCTTGACGCCCTTTTCTCTCTCCCTCCCTCCCTCTACACACTTTCACCTGATGCTGAACCGCTCATGTCAGGAGCAGAATAGGTTTGTGTGTTTTTGTGTTCTTTCCTCCGTCCCTCACCTGAGCTGCTGAGTTCTTTCTGTGCTTCTTGTTCTCTCTCGTGTCTGAGGCCCGGGGTAGATGATGTTAACATCCAGGGGACTTGTTCAGAGTGGAGTCTGGAGCAAACCACTTATCACATACATTGTTGGATTTTGTCAAGTCCAGTACTCGGCCTCCTTATGGTTGGTGCTGAGCGATGCTGTGCAGTGTATGTGTGTTGGCAAATGAGGGCAGGGGAATGTTTCACAGATGTTTACATTCTGTCCACAGAGGTGAGCAGGGCCCCTCCGACCTGCCCGTCAGCCTGGCTGTCCAGCTGTTGGAACACGATGCCTTTATCTTCGCTCTCTGTCAGGATCATAAGCTGCGTCTCTGGTCCTACAAGGTGAGCGGGCGCTGGGCGTGTGGTGAGCGGTTGGCAGAGGGGCTTCTCCATGTGTTGTGTCATGTCAGGCTGTCGGGTTGCAAGCTGTGACCTTGATACAGAACAATCCACAAGTCTGCACACAGTGTGTACCTTCAAGGGTTCTCGCTGCTGTGAGCAATTGGCTGCCACGCTTTGCCTACAAAATATAGAGTCAATCCATTTTATGGCATATTTTGTGAAGCGCTTTGAGACATTTCAAAGAAGTGATGTGTATCAAATGCAAGGATTATTATTATTTATAGAAATGTTAGTATCCCAACCTTCTCCACTGACACGTGCCCTCTGCTCCTCGTCAGGAGTGGACTGGGAGCAGGTAGTGAGGATGTACAGTGGAGCTGGGAGGAGGTGATGATGTATAGTGGGGGGTGGTGGGTGTGAATTGAGACCAGAGCTAGTGGGAGAGACAGCTCTCTGCTGGTGGGCGACAGGAGCCACTTTGATTGGGTTGGTTGAGCCTGGCTGTCGGAATCTTGGACTGGTATCTCCTGTGTTTGGGGCAGGGTTGCTGCGGGTGGGCGGGCAGGTGGAGATGGCGATGCTGTGCTGATAATCTCTGTGTTGTGTCCAGGACCAACTGTGCCTGATGGTGGCAGACCTGCTGGTCTTCATGCCAGCGAATAAAGAGTTGAAACACATGGGCAGCTTGGGGCATAAGCTGCGGCTGGCCTACTCCTCCACTGGCTTCTACCTTAGCGTCTACCTGCACTGCCCGAAGCGAGGACAGGTACTGCACACTCACACACACACCCTCGCCTCGACGTTTCCCGATCTCAGTAACCGATTAGTGACACACTGACTGATGGCATCTCTCTCTCTCGCTCCCTGTCTCCCAGTTTTGTGTTTTCCAGCTTGTGAGCAGCATTGAGAGCAGCCGGTACAGCCTGGATCACATCTCCACGCTCTTCTGTACACAGGTATAGTGTCTCACTGCATGTGGGGGTGGGAAGGTGTCTCACTGCAGAGGGAGGGGGCGTATACAGGTACGCTGTCTCACTGCTGGGGAGTGCACGGGTATGATCCCTCACTGCCAGTGTGAAAGGGGAGGGGGGGTAACTCTGGCAGTATTTGGCTGATGTGTGGCTCTTTCTCTGGGCAGGAGGTGCTGGTGGACTTTGCTCTGACGCCCACTGATATCTGGGCCCTGTGGCAGGACGAGGAGAATCAGGCCAGCGTTAAATACATCAACTTTGAGCAGTAAGTGTCGGTGGTGGGGGACGCTCCCTAGACAAATCCTGTGATTCAACATTCATTTTAACCTCTTACAAATATACCACAAATTTCGCCCACAAATATACAGTCAATTCACTTTATAGTCTATTCTGTGAAGCGCTTTAAGACGTTGCGAAGACGTGAAAAGCGCTATATCAAATGCAAGGATGATTATTATTATAATCTTTACCTGGGCAGCACATGTCAGCACGGTGATTTCTCCTACCCGCCCGCCTCTCTCCCTCCCCCCTCTCTCACTATCTCATCCGCTCTCTCGCTCTGTCAGTTATGAATGAGGATGAAGTTTCTGTGTTTGACACGCTGAGTGACTGCTTGTCTGCTGTGGTGTATTGTGTTGCAGTAACAATGCCGGGCAGTGGAACCAGGTCTTTGTGCAGCCTGTTGCTGATGAAGAAATCCACGTCCCGGAGGATCAGGACCCCAAGGTGAGCGTGCTCATTCAACTCCCCTCACCTGCTGCCTCCAAGCTCTCTCAGGCCTGCCTCCGCCCCCTTTCTCCCCCACCCCAGTTGCCCACTGTTTGTAACCGTTGCTTCTCTCACCAGGAGGCGTATCTGGATTATCTCTTCGCTCCCGGACGCTTCACTCCCCAGGCTGTGCTGAAGGCTCTGCAGGTTTGTGTGTAGACTTGAGGGAAGGGGGGCATATAATTGGGTGTTGAGCCTAGATTCTGAGCTCTGACACTCTGCTTCACGTCTGTCTGTTCAGATCTCCAGCCGCTGCGCTGAGAGGATCCTGGAGCCGTCTGTGGCTGGATTGAAAAAGGAAGTGACACTGGCTGTTGAAAGTGCGGTAAGATTAGGGGGTGGGCTGTCGGTGGGGGTTATTGTGGGGCCTTCAGTGAGGGAGTGGGTTGGAGGGAAAGGCGAGTGAGAGGGTTTGGGGAGCGAGCGGGGGAAGTGGGATTGGGGGAGAATGAGCGAAGGTGGGTTGGGGGGAAGGGGAGCGAGGGGCTTTGGGGTGACGGTTTGTTCTCTGTTTAGATCCAAAACAGCGTGACGGAATACGAGTTCTCTCAGGAAATTTACCGCCAGCTGCAGGTGGAATTCTGGTCTAAGTTCTATGCCTGCTGTCTGCAGTACCAGGAGGTGCTGGCCCGGCCCCTGGCTCTGCTTGTCAACCCCCACACTAACATGGTGTGTCTGCTGAAAAAGGTCAGTGATCGCTCGCTCGTTCAGTCTGCCCCACCATCGGTGGTCAGGCCTTCAGCCTCTCTGCACCCCGTTTGGAACTCCATCCTAAGACCTTCCTCTTCGACTGTGCCTTCGGCCACCCTCTTAACCCCCCCTCCCTGCCCCCACCCCTCCTGATCTCAATCCCCAGCTCGGGTGCAAATTTATGACTTTCCAGTGTGAAAGGTGCTGTGTAAATGTAACTTGTTGTTTCCCTTCCAGTGACCTCAGTCTCTCTTTCTCAGGGCTTCACGTCTTTCCTGTTCCCCTGCCCGCTCATTGATCACCTGTACATGTCGTCAGACGAGCACCTGCTGGTGGAGGACGAGACCGCCATCACAGACGGTATGTTCCCGGCCCCCCTCGCTGGCGAGCAGCTGATGTTGTGTAAGTTAGTGTAGCCGGTGTGTGTGTGTTACATAGTTCTCAGCTCCCGCGTCTCTCAGTTGCTCACGGTGACCCCACAGGCCCGGCTGCTCTGTGCAGCAGTGTTGGCCGGTCAGTGTCAGCCCGATTCTCAATACAGTCTCCACAGTGACGGAACGTTCATACCTGGCAGAGAGACAAAGCTTCCTGCTTTCTGTATATTATAATATTCCTTGCATTTGATATAGTGCCTTATCACGTCTTCGAGACGTCTCAAAGTGCTTCACAGAAAATACAGTAAAGTGAATTGACTGTATATTTTGTGCGAGAAACGCAACAGCCAATTGAGATACAGTTCATGTTTACCATGGCTTGGTTGGTCTTCAACACTTTGACGCCTTTTTAGGCGTGGATTAAGTGACACAATTATATTTTGTTGCCCCCGGAAAAGTGATCCGTCAATCGACTAACAACAAAGGTTCCTACTTACTGCGTGTGGAGTAAGGAAACTTGCTTAATGTTTTTCCCTGCCCGGGAATTGAACCCAGATCCTCTCATTTGCGAGGTGAGGGCTCTAACTAATCCGCTACAGGACTCCACATTGAGGTGAAGTGTGACAAAGTGAAGTCTATTTGGGTTTTGTTTCAGATCCAGACGTAGCAAAGGACCTGTTGCAATTGGTGTACTGCCTCCGGCTAGTGGGAGACTCGATCTCTCCCGAGATGGCCTCGCTGATGGAAATGGCCGTCAGCCACCTGCAGTCCCCAGAGCGGGCCGCAGAGCAGGTCATGCAGGACCTCCTGACCAGAGACACGTGAGTGCTACTCAACTCAGTCTCGGGGCTGCCGCAGTGCTGTGTGAAGCCGTCACCTTGAGGTCTGGTTGTTCACTTGGGATGTAACGCTGTCTCCTCTTTGTAGAAGTGACCTGATGGAACTGCAGTGTAAGCTACAAGACATCCGCAACCCAGCCCATGTCATTGGGCTCCTGCTGAGAGACATGGACCTGGAGAGCGAATTGGACATTGGCGACGGTACAGGCTGCTTGGGGAAGAGGACAGGCAGGGAGGAGACAAGGAGGGACGGGGCGGGGAAGGAACTGGCAGAGTGTGGGAGGAGACGGTACAGAGGGTGTATGGCTGAGGGTGGGGTTGTTGCGGCTGGCAGCAGGTGTAACGTGCCGGTTGCTATCTGCCCACAGCCCAACCACTGCCAGTGAGGATGAACCTGGCCCAGTTGTTCGGAGGCAGCATTGGGGTCAGCGTGCTGTGCCAGGCGGCCTATCACATGTCAAGCACCCGCTTCCTGATCTGCCGTGACCTCCTCATACTCCAACAGCTCATGCTACACCTCGGAGAGAACGTGAGTGGAGGGGCAGGGGGTGTTTCTGCGGTGACTGTTGGTGTTCCGGTTGAAGCGCTCCGGGACGCTACCCTGGGTGAACTATATAAATGCAAGTTGGTGTGTTGGTGCCGTGACGTGTTGCCGTAGTGATGTGTTGGTGTATGCCTGAGGTGACGTGTTGGTGTGTTGCCGCGGTGACGTGTTGGTGTGTTACAGGCGGTGCTGGCCGGGGGAGGCTGCCTGTTACAGCTACAGCAGGAACTGATGCCGCGCACCGGGCTCCTCCTCTCCTCTTACTATGTGCTGCGCTGGGCCAGCCAGACCCTGGCCTCTGCCGTGCCTATCGACACCCTGTAAGTATCTCCCGGGGAGAGCGCGGAGTATCCCGGGAGGGATGTGGTGGGGAGAGACTGGGTGGGTGGGCCTGGGGTTGCCAGGGACACTGCGGTGACTGTCATGTCTGGTTTCAGGGAATTGAACCTTCGTCAGTTGTCGGTGCTGGAGCTCTCGGACACCACAACAATCACCTCACACCGAACAGGTTAGTGCCTCCCCCTCCCCTGCGGGTCAGCCCCCCTGTGTGTGCTGCTGTTCTGTGGGTCTGTTTCCCTACTGACCCCCCAACCCACTCTCCCCACCCGGTGGACCTGTCCCCCTGAGTGTGGCTGCAGTCTGTGAACCTCGGGGTCCTGTTCAACCCTCAACTGTCCTTCATCCCCCCACCATGCCATGACCCACTCCCCCTTTCCCTACCTCTGCAATATTGAGTAGCTCTCACCGAGACCCTCATCCACGCTTTCATTACATCCAGGCTCAATTACGCAAACTCCCTGCTTGTCGACCTCCCCGACTTCTCCACAGGCTGCAGATCATCCAGAACCCTGCAGCCCGTGTCCACACCAGGCTCCGTCACCCTATCACCCCATCCGCCCCAGACTCCACTGGCTTCCCATCACACAGAGGATACAGTTCAAGATCCTGGTCCTCGCCTTCAAAGCCCAACATGGTCTTGCTCCCCCTACCTCTCCGACATCCTAACCCTCTACCATCCTGCTTGTTCCCTCCGCTCAATGGGCTCCAGCCTGCTTTGCATCCATTGCCTTGTCCGCCCCACTCTCTGGAATTCCATCTCACAGGCCCTCCGCCTCGCGCCCTCTCTAGCCTCCTTCACACCTGTCTCAAGACCCTCCTCTTTGACCGTGCCTTCGTTCACCCTCCTATCCCTATCCTCTCCGCCCTCCACCCCTCCTAATTCCAACCACCAGCTCAGGTGTGGATCCTTGACTGTCCAGCACCCTGGGACATCCCCCTGACGTGAAAGGCGCTATTCAAATGTAATTTGTTGTTGTGTGCGGCTGCTCTGTACAGTCTGTCCCTGTGTGTGGCTGCTCTGTACAGCCTGTCCCTGTGTGTGGCTGCTCTGTGCCTGCTCACCTCTCTGCTGTTGCAGTGACCAGCCCGCGGACGGTGGTGGAGTTGTTTTACCAGAATGTGGCCAGAAAACATATCATTTCCCGCCTCCTGTCTCAGCAAAACAGCCCCTTGAGCCAGGGAGCCCTCTGCTGGTCCCCACTCAGCATGGCCATCGCCAACCACCTGCTCCAGGCCCTGTATCCTTCACTGTCGCTGTGTGTGTGTGTGTGGAGTTGTGCTCAGGTGGGGGGGGTGCTGTGCTCAGTAGGTGTGTGTGTGGGGAGGTGGGCTGTGCTCAGTGTGTGGGGGTGTGTGAGGGCTGTGCTCAGTGTGTATGTGGTGGGGGGGAGCTGTGCTCCAGTGTGTATGTGGTGGGGGGGGGTGGGCAGTGCTCAGTGTGTGTGTGGGGAGGTGGGCAGTGCTCAGTGTGTGTGTGGGGAGGTGGGCAGTGCTCAGTGTGTGTGTGTGGGGAGGTGGGCTGTGCTCAGTATGTGTGGTGGGAGTGGGGGGGGCTGTGCTCGGTGTGTGGGGGGACTGTGCTCAGTGCGTATGTGGTGTGGGTGGGGGGACTGTGCTCAGTGTGTGTGAGAGGGGGAGGGGTGGGAGGCTGTGCTCAGTGTTTGTGTGGGGGGTGGGGGGGGCTGTGCTCAGTGTGTGTGAGAGGGGGAGGGTGGGGGGCTGTGCTCAGTGTTTGTGTGGGGGGTGGGGGGGGCTGTGCTCAGTGTGTTGTATTTTGCGACACTCTCCAGCCTGTGCTCCCTTGACGAAAGCTCAGATGGGTTAATAACAGCAGCTTCCTCTTCCCGGAGTTCCTGATGGGTCACTGCCAGTACACACAACTCCAGGTAACAACCCCCCACACCCCTCCCCTCCAGACACACTCAGACACAGACATCTGGCCAGCTAGTACACACAGCTCCAGCAACAATAACAACAGTAACTGTTGCGCCTCCACGCAGAGCAGTCTCAGAGCACTTAACAGAGGCAGAACCTGACCGGGGGGGCTGAGGGGGTAACCGTAAGCACAATCGAAACAGTAAGGTGTTCAGGCGGGACTTGGAAAAGGGGATAGAGGGGGCAAAGAGGAGGGATTGAGGCAGAATGTTCCAGAGTTCCGGGGTGTAGTGGCTGAAAGCGCAACCTTCAGTGGTGGAGCGGAGTTCGTGAGGGACGAGCAGGAGGCCGGTGCCATTTGAGCAGAGGCGCCGGGTGGTGGATTGGGGAGTGAGGAGGTCGGGAGGTGCCAGAGAGTGAAAGGATTTGAACACGAGAGTGAGGATGTTGAAGTCGATCTGTTCGGTAATGGGGAGCCAGTGGAGCCTGGGCCAGAACTGGGGAGGTGTGGGCACGGAGTTTGGTCGGGGTCAGTTTGTGGGCGACAGAGTTCTGAAGGAGTTGGGGAGACCAGCGAGGAGTGCGTTGGAGTAATCCAGGCGGGAGGTGACAAACACATTGCACAAGGGTTTCGGCTGCACTTGGGGTAAGGTACAGTCGGAGGCGGGCAATGAGGTGGAGGAAGTGTGTCCTGGTCAGTAACCGGATGTGGGGAAGCAAGGATAGCTGGGATTCGAACCGGACGTATAGATTGCTCACTGGTTCGGTGAGTCTGAGAGAGAGCCCAGGAAGATTGAGGAGTTCCGATCCGCAGGATATGGTGATACCCTTCTCTCCCACTTTTCCCCCCACCCACCCATCGACCCACACACACATACGCACGCCTGCACGCGCATATACCGCCAGCCAGTACACACAGCGCATGCTCTCCTCCCCACCACTGGGTGTTAAAGCCTGAGATTGTTTCTCAGTGTATCAGATGCGATGACAGAAGCCACTGGTTAACCCTATCTCCAACTTGCTCCTCTCTCTCTCTCTCTCTCTCCCTCTGGCTGTGGTCGGGGGCAGGAGTACGTGCGGTTGCTGCAGCCCTGGTGTGAGGTGAACGTCGGTTCGCGCCGTTTCGCCCTGGCTCAGTGTTACCTCGTCACTGGGGAGGGCCACAAGGTGAGAGGGGGTGGGGGCTGCATGCGTGGGGCGGAGGCAAGCGGCTGTGTGTTTTAGGGGAGGTAATGTTTGGGTTCTGCGTTTCTATGAGATGGGTTGTGTGTGTGTGTTCTGTGTGTATTGGGGCTGTGTGTGTGGGTGTCTGTGGAGGTGTATAGGTGTGTGTATGTATGGGGGGAGCTACAAGGTGTATAAGTGTGTGTGTATATAGGTGTGTGTATGTGGGGATGTATGGGTGTGTATGGGCGGGATGTTCGGGTATGTCTGGAGATATGTATAGGTCTATGGGGGGGTTTCTATGGGGGGGAGTGTCTACTACAACAACAACAAAATTACATTTGTAAAGCGCCTTTCACATCAGGAGGACGTCCCAAGGCGCTGGACAGATGGACCCAAGCTGAGGCTGTGTCTATGGGGGTGGGGTGTCCGTGGGGATGTGTGTCTGTGGATGGTGTATGAGAGTGTGTGTAGGAGGGGTGTCTGTGGGAGTGTGTGTCTATGGTGGTGTGTATAGGTGTTTGTGTCTGTGGGTTGGAGTGTCTGGGGTGTGTATAGGTGTGTGTTTTTGGGGGGGTGTATGGGTGGGTGAGAATGGGGGTCTTGTGTGTCTTTAGGGGGGTGTCTGTGGGGGAGTTGTCTATGAGGGGGGGGTGTTTGTGGGGGTGTGGGCTGGCTGCCAGTTACTGAGGGCGATGCTGGTTTCAGGCTCTGGACTGTTTCTGTGAGGGAGCGGCCGCTGTGGGACGGGAAGAATTCTTGGACAGACTGATCCACACTGAGGATGAGGAAGCCACATCCACACCCAGACTGCAGTATTACAACAAGGTGTGTCCTCCCCCTCCGCCCCCGCGCGCTGTGCCCCATCATCCTCCCGCGCGCTGTGCCCCCATCATCCTCCCGCGCGCTGTGCCCCCATCATCCTCCCGCGCGCTGTGCCCCCATCATCCTCCCGCGCGCTGTGCCCCCATCATCCTCCCGCGCGCTGTGCCCCCCATCATCCTCCCGCGCGCTGTGCCCCCATCATCCTCCCGCGCGCTGTGCCCCCATCATCCTCCCGCGCGCTGTGCCCCCCATCATCCTCCGCGCGCTGTGCCCCCATCATCCTCCCGCGCGCTGTGCCCCCATCATCCTCCCCGCGCTGTGCCCCCATCCTCCCCGCGCGCTGTGCCCCCATCATCCTCCCGCGCGCTGTGCCCCCATCATCCTCCCGCGCGCTGTGCCCCCATCATCCTCCCGCGCGCTGTGCCCCCATCATCCTGCCCGTCCCCTCATGCCCTGCACATCCCGCGCGCTGTGCCCCATCATCCCTTCCCATCACCCCGCGCGCTGTGCCCCCATCATCCCCCCGCTGTGCCCCCATCATCCTCCCCCCGCTGTGCCCCCATCATCCTCCCGCACGCTGTGCCCCCATCATCCTCCCGCGTGTTGTGCCCCCATCATCCTCCCGCGTGTTGTGCGCCCATCGCCCCCCTGATGGGGCTGTGGCCCCATCACACACACACCCCCACACAAACACACACACTGGGCCCCCATCACCCCCCCCACACGCTGGGCCCCCACCCCGTCCTGTGCCAGCAGGTGAGGATTGACGCTGTCTCTCGCTCAGGTGCTGCGTGTGCTGGAGGATGTGGGGCTGCCGGAGCTGGTGCTGGAGTTGGCAGCCGTGGCTGTGATTGAGGCCAAGGATGACTGGAAAATGCAGGTGAGGAGCAGTGGGATTGGCAGTGGGAGGGGTGTGTGAGAGGTATCTGCAGTTAGAGAGCCGGGCAAGGCCTGGCACTCGCCACACTGACTCCCGTGGCCACTGCTTCTCTTCCAGGCCACCCTGTGGACAAAGATCTTCAAGCACCACCTGGATCTCGGTCACAACAACCAGGCTTACGAGGCCCTGACTCAGAACCCGGACTCCAGCAGGTAACCGGGGGTGGGGGAGAGGGGCAAGAACAAGCGGGGAGAGAGGTTGGCGAAGGCAGATGAGGTTGGGGAGGGAAGATGGGGAGATTGACAAGGAGGGAGGAGAGGTTGGCGAAGGTGAGAGGTTGGTGAGGGGGAAGGGGAGGTTGTTATTTGCTGCTGCCAGGTGTTGAGGTCTCTCTCTGGTCTCAGGCGCCTGGACTGTCTGCGGGAGCTGGTGGTGGTGCTGTGTGAGCGCTCACAGCTTCAACACCTTGTGCAGTTTCCTTATGTCAACCTGCACGATGAGGTGAGTAAGTCACACTGAGTGTCATGGGGAGTGGTGGGGGGTTGGGGGTTGGCGTGAGGCAACACGTGGGGTGGGTGTAGGCTGCCAGCAATGTGTGTGTCTGTAGCTGACAGGAGGGGCCCAGGTTGCTGTCCCTGGGCTGCAGTGGGAGTCTTTGTGTGTGGTGTGAGTCTCTGGCTGTGCGATGGCTGGGCTCTCAGTGTCTGTCTGTGTTGCAGGTTGTTGGAATCATCGAGTCCCGAGCTCGGGCTGTTGACCTCATGGCTCACAATTACTACGAGTTACTGTACGCGTTTCACATCCAGCGACACAACTTCCGCAAAG